GTCTCCGGTGGGGGGAGGAGTAAGGGGTTTTTCCTTTTGGGTTCATCTTTCACCGTTGTTTCCCCCCTGTTCAACACGTCACGACAGCCTGATCGCCTCGACCAGGAGGCCACATGCATTGGCTGCCCCAAGGACGGGCCATATCAGCCACGGTTCGGAAAAAGTGGCTGCGGCTGACTCTTGGTTTCCTTGAGGTCCCCTTGGGGTTTTGGGGATTCCCCCGCCTGGTTGGTCTCCCCCCTCCGTGCTTTTGGGGATTTCGGGTGGTTGATTGTTGGTCCTGTCGGGATGCGTGTGGCCTGCCTGCTCCATCTGCACTCGGCAGTCTGCGCGTTTGGAGCATGCATGCATTGTGCCGCGGTTGGGTCCCGCCGTTCGATAGGAGGCTCGAACCCCCCTTGTTCATCATGGCTAGGGTTTCTACCAAGTTTCTTTTGCGCCCGCCTTACACACGTCTTTGGGACCGCATTCCAAGGGTCCTATGGGACACTTTGGCGGATGAGTCCTTCTCCCCGAGACAGACGGACGGGGAGCTGTTGGTCCTGATGTGCCTGCGCCATGGCACGGAGGAGGTGGGGAGGAAGCTGGGCGGGGAGCCGGCAATCCGCTTCGCCCAGCTCCTGGAACTCTCGGGCATTCCGGTAGGACAAGACGACCAAGTGGTCCCGACGGACTACTTCAACGGCCTGGTGGCGTCGGCGGCGGGCAGGCTTCCCCAGCCTCTGTCCGCGGCGGACCTGGCCGACCTATGGGATAGCCTATGGTTCCTCCTCATGGCGACGGTGGATGGCATGGCGAGAACTTTTCCCCGCTGGAGAATGAATGGGACCGCCAGGACCAATTGAGGTGGTTCTCACGAGATGACCCACCCCCACTCCAACAACCGGAGCTTCTGAAGTGGAGGCACTGGCGCCCGGGCAAAATAAGGGAAATGGAGCCCACGACCCAGCGAGCGCTGGAACTCCATATGCGCGGGAAATGGGCGGAACGGCTCCTTGCCCACTTCGCCCCGTTTGCGGAGCACATCGCATACATGCAGGACATCCTGGGGGAGGACTTCCGCAAGGAGGCATTGGACCTCCTGGGGGACAGTAGGTTCCGGACACTCAGGCAACATTGCCTGGTCTACGAGAGTCTCCGGAAGAGAGGCTTCACAGTGATTCCATGGCAGGAACGACATGTCCGCTCTCTCCTTAACCAGCTCGCCGAAGAGGAGGTCACCCCGTGCAAGTTACGGCAGGTGTGGAACACCCTCAAATGGTTTTCCAAGACCTTCGGGTTGCTGAAGATAGACGAGCTCCATCGCCTCAAGTCCAAGAAGAGCTCATTGGAAGAGGCGCTCACGGACACGGTCACCCGGCCACAGCGCAAGGCGGCGGTCCCCAGCAAAGAGGTCATATGCGCTCTGGAGGAGGGGGCCGGCTACGATTATCTGGGTGCCACCGGCCCCGGTACGCAGGCGGCCCCGGGCAGGAGCAGACACGAGGTGCTGGACGCTTTCATCCTGGGTTTCGCCCGGTTCCAAGTTGGGTGCAGCGCTCGTTTCAATGACCTCCAGCATGTTCACCCTGGGAGTAACCCAACCTGTCGTACAAGGCCCCCGCCGCCTCCTGCGGGACCTGCTCGACCCAGTCGTGGACCACGTTGCAGCGCCAGTTGACCTTCACCTCCACCATCGAAGATTTGCTCAGGCCCGCCACCAACTTGGTGTAGACCGAGTCGAAGGTGATCCGCTCGTCGCAAACCGCCCTGAAACGCAGCGCCTCCTTACTGTCATGGATGGGGGCCACTGGGATCTCCATCACGGGCAACGGGCAGTTGACGATGAAATTCTTGGCCGCCAAAAATGTCCCCATCTCCTTGAAGATGTAGCTCCATTCCTCCTTGCTGCGCGGCTTGGGGATGCCCAGGCTCTCCAGGAAGGGCACCGCCTCCTTCCTCATCTGGAGGATGTTGCCCATCCACTTGTCCGAGGTCGAGCCCTCCGCATTGCGGCCCCGGCGTTGCGTCTTCACGATCAACGGGAAAGTGGTCCAGGCCGAGTAGATGTACTTGAAAGTGAACCTGTGGGCGTACACCCCCGTCAGGCTCGGCAGGTCCCACGTTCTCGTCTGCCTGGTCCAAAACACCCCATCACCTTTTGCCCAGAAGATCCCCACCACCTGCTCCGGCGCCGGGCGCTCGCCCCGGTTCACCTGCGCTCGGATCTCCAAGGCCGTGTAGATGACTGGGTCGATGTGGTCCTGCTCGCACGTGAGTGGGTGAGTCCTGCGCTCCAGGGCCAGGAGCTCCTCCGGCGTGAGCTTGAACCGCCCTGGGGGATCTCACCGCTTGCGTGCTTGTTCCAAATCCCCCCAAACATCCGGAGCTCTCCCTGGTGCCTCTTCATCGCCCAGAGGATCAAGGACAGCTTGCCCTCCTCCGAGTCCAGGTCTTGCTGTGACATTGGCTGGTCCCTCCCGGGGCCAGTGGCACCCTTGGGGGGGGCCGGTGCCACCAGATCGGGTTTCCTGGTGCCATGGGTTCTGCGACGCTCTGAGCATCCTGATGTAGGGGACATACTTCTCCTTGATGTTCCCATTTGGGGGATGTGCTCGGGGTCATCCAGCTCCAGGGGGCAGAATAGCCCCCTCTCCAGGGCCTGCCTGAGATCATCCGGCCACGCCGGGGCTTGAGAGTGTGGTTGAGCATCGCCGCCTAGCCTCCTGAATGGAGCCCATCGCCTCAGCCAATGCCTGGCTGGCGTCAACGCCCTTCCCCTCCAAGTACTGGTCTCTCAGCTTGGCCTTGAGCCGCTCCAGGTTGTCCTGAGGGCACGGGCTCCCTCATTGGCCACCTCCTCTGATGGCAGGGCCTGCATGCCCTCCTGGAGAGGCGCCAGGATAGCCATCTCATTGTCCAGCATCTCCTCAGTGACCAACTCCTTGTGCCTGTCCGGAGTCGGTTCCCGATGCTCCCGCAAGGCCTTATGCAGCTCCTCCTTCTTCCGGATCGCCTGGTCCACCTGGGGGTGGTAGAGCTGGAAGCTCTGGGCCTCCGCCTCCTTCAGGGACCGCTGCACTTTGACCTTGATCTCCTGGCATTCCCGGACCTTCAACGCCTCGTCGTCCGCCTCCATGGACAGGATCTCCTGCCGGATGTCCACCCGCCTGTTAAGCGGGACCGCGTCTGCCATGGTGATCTCATCTGCCGTGTCCGTTTTCGGAGGGGCTCTCCCCAGGACCGTGCCGTCCACCAAGTTGCGGTCGGCCTGTGCCCGGGTACCACCGGGGCCAGCGGCACCCAGGCTTCCCCATTCCCGCTGCTGGATCCAGGTCGGCTTGCCCTCCACGATGAGCAGGTTGTAGGTGATGCCGTCCGCCTCATAGGTGGCCGAGGGTGCCTGGAAGGGGACGAACTCCTTGCCTGGGCAGACCCAGCACTGCTTGGCTGCCTCTGGCCACCCCGTACCGCATGCCTTGCACATGAACTTGTAATCGGAATGGCCTGCATCGAGCCTGTGCATTCGCTGGGTGCCAATGCACGCCTTGTTCCTCTGGAACTGCGAGGCCCAGACCTCCTCCTGCCGGATCTGGATCTTCATCGGGACATAAGCCTCCAGGATACGAATCACCAGGTCCTCCGTGAGATTCTTCCCGACAAACTTGTGGAACAGGGAGACCGCCTCCTCCACCGTGATGTCCCTCAGCAAAGTGGCCGCCGATGCCGGAAGGACTGGGAAAAGGTCTGGGAGGTCCACCAGCTTGAAATAACCGGGTCGGCCCTCAACCGGCACCAAGGAGACCGGTTTGTTAACATGAGCCGTGGTCTTCTGGGAAGCACCCCTCAGCCTCTTCGTGGGTGGCGTCTGTGCCTCCTCCGGTGGCGTGGCCCGCTCCGTGACGTCCGCGTCTTCCATGTCCTTGTCATCCTCCTCGGCGGGGCCAGGGGCACCCAAGCCGGAAGTCGGTGTGGCAAATGCCACACGGAGACGCTCCAGTGCACTGGAGAGGTCCTTCATCACATCGGTAGCCGAAGCCGACGGGGGGGCCTCGGGCTCGTCCAAAACCAAGCCGGCCGCCACTGCCGCCTCGCGTGTGCGAATTTCCTGGGCCTCCTGGCTGGCCATTTCAACCTCCTCCACGGTGAGTGTCTGGTCCTCAATCAGCTCAAAGGAGGTGGCCGAGGTTGCCGAGGAAGCCATTGCTAGATCGGGGTTAGGTTCGAAAGTGTCAAAGCTCAAACTTTTTCAAACAGATTGGGTTCCAGGAACCCAGGGCAATGCTTGAGCCAAAATGGCACATGCCATTGTGGTCAAGCATTCCAAACACAGTTCATGTTTCCACATGCGTTTCAACATTAACAAAATTGATGATTTCCAGGTGCGCTCCCTTTCAATCACCGCCCAAAAAGGGACCACCAAATAGTCCAAGGTAAACGGTTCTTCAACCCAGTCATCTATCACAGGAGTTCAATCTGGGCTCACTAGCTGGGAATCCGCCTTTTGAGACCGACTCCAGTTGGATTTTGTAAAGGCCTGCAGGGTCTCCCAAAACGTGTTCAGGGCCCCAGTTTGGAAGCCTTCATGTGAGCCCGGCGCAAAATACCAAAATACCCCCACACAGGTACACACAAACACGAAAGTGGGTCGTGGGACCATGGCTCCCTTAGGAACCCCGCAAGAGTCCAAAGTCCGGGGGTTGAGGCAACTCCCTGGCCCTAGGAATCTCATTGGCTGAAACCCAAGGTTGGCCATCAAGAAACGCCCAATCGGTCTTTGACCGACCTGAAAAGGGCACCTGTCCCCCACAAGCAAGGGCTTCGCTTTTTAAATAAATGGCTGAAATCCTATTTTGAGAAACCCTCACGTGGGCTCGGTGCTTTCCACTACCCTCAAACTATCAGGTGAAAATGGCGGTTCAAAATACTTCCCCCTAGTGTAGCGGCTATGGTTTTTCAGTCCCCAACCCCTGAAACCTAGCGTCGGTTCGGTTCAATCCCTGGTAGCTTCGCCAAGGCGCTGAGAGGTCCGGGTTCTCCGCCTGGCGCTCCTGAGACGAGGCGGAGTTCTCGGGTCCAAAGACAGCGACACTTTTGAGTGGCCCAAATTTCACATGCATCCTTTAAAGTTTAAAGGGGCCTTCTGGGTCTATGGGAGGCAAGGGGTGCTATCATGCGCAATCCGTAGCAATAGAGCAGACTGAAAACGAGGTTTTGCCCGGCAGGTGGTTGAGCAGGGAAATGTAGACAGGGTTCCTGTGCAACCCAAACACATCATTCGAACCACGCAAAGGAAGCAATAACGACACCTGTTTCCGAGTGGCTGTGCCCATATGCATACCAAACAAAAACCCAAGACCCTACCTATCCCTGATGTTGGAAGGATCTCAAGGAGGGATGGCCTGGACCTAAATCAACATGGCAAGAAAAACATCCCCAGCCCCATCAGTTGGAGCACGACAGATGCTCGTCTGGTGCCCAATTCGCTGAACTGTACCCCTTCAGGGCAGAACAGCCCTGGAACAAAAACAAGAAAGCTGGAGAAAAAGGGGTTTGATAGGGGGGCTGGGAAAAACATGAAAAGGGTCTGCCTTTGGTCTCTCCTTTTTTGTCCGGACCTTGAGGGGTCATTTAATGCCATGATCGAAGCATCCTCTCGGCCCTTTTCAACTTGAAGTTCAACGGGCGAGGTTTCCCGCTACGCATCTGACAGTTACAGGCAGGAGATCCGGAACAAAATCGCGTCTGTCACAGCAAAATGGCGATCACGTTGCCTGACTCCAGAAATGAGACTTGACCAAGGGATCAATGCAGAAAACCTAAACCTAGGAACCAATCAGAATATTATCAGAATTGTACAGGGCAAAGATTCAAAACGAATAGTGAGACACAACATATGCAGTACCGGAGTGACAGCCAGCAAAGTAGCACAAGAATGATACATCTGTCTACATTAGGCGTGCAAACGGAATTTGGGGACCTCCCAAATCGAAGGTGTTCTCACAGGCCGAGTTTCTGCCCTGGGTTCGTGGATCCCCGTTCGTTCACCATTTGCTCTTTTCGGGATAAGTGATTTTCCGCGCGTTTCTTGCCACTTTCTCAGAAGGATCCCTGTCAAGAAGCTTGTTGTGACACAAGGCTGTCAGAGGGGCCTTTTGAGTGCGACATCAGTCTTTGTGCCGGTATAACACACCGCACGGGCAACTTCCTGATCCATTAAAAGGAAACGAAAAGAAAATCTGGGCTTCGCGCCACTTGCCCTGACGGCCCTCGCCCAGAGCGCAGTGGAATCGGCTCCAGAGTTCTAACTTCCTGCAGGACATGTGCCAGGTCGTGTCGAGAATACGACGTAATTGCAAGGGTTCCTTGTAAAACTGTAAAGCTACGGCCTTCATGCGAGAGTATCCTTGGGAGGGTTCCCTCAAATTGAGAACCGCGGGCCGGCTTTGTGAGAGCTCGTCTCCACACCTTGCCTCTTGGGGAAACGAAAAAGCAAACTGCCGGGTCACCCCTCTCACGTCTGCCTAGTGGGCGGGAGAATACTTTATTGGCCAGGCCCCCGTGGCATGGACATGTGGAGACGAGGCTACTTGCAGCCAAGAACCCCAAGTCACCAATACCCCAAACAAAATAGACCCCCCCCCCCGCCCCCCACAAAGATCCCTGCCAAGGGGTGACAATCGCTAAGAACGATTCTTTGCCCACTCAACAATCATGGAAGTGAACAAGAGCAGGTCTGTTTTAGGGACACCCTTTTTGGTTGGTGTTGAGGGAAACCAAAAGGAAAGCCGCAAGTTTGGGGTTCTCTAATTTTGAGACCAGCACACAAAGCGGTTTCCCGGAAAAGCTGATTTCGCACACAGCTTCCTTGCGGTGGGACCAACAGACAAAGGGGAGCTGTTTCCGATCTTCGTGAACCGAAAAGGGGAGGCGGGTGCCGCACTCGGGGATGTTTCAGATGAGTCGGGGCCCGACTCGCTCGGTCTGAGGAGCGGACCGCCATGAGCTGATTGGACTCGCTGATGGGGCACAGCGGGTGTTGGAGGAACTTCTCCTAGCTCTCCAAGAAAGAGCCGCACAGGTGGCCGAAAATGGGGAGGATTTCGAATTGGATGGGCTCGTTGATGGGCAACCGACAGTGTTCCCCTCCACTTTTCTCCACAGAATAAAAATATTCCTTCTCAAAAACCAGCCGCTTCCCCCAGTTCCCTGGAATGACTCGGATTGAGGGTTGGAAGCTACCACTCTCCGTGTTTGTCTCTCACCGCTTCGCGGTATGGATTGGTCATTTGGAGGTACGCCTTTCGCTTAACTCGCGCTTGTGGCAAATCACTGAAAAGAACTTGGGTCACTGGAGCCGAGGTTGTCTCTTCTGACGACACCCACAACGCATAGTTTCTGTAAACATCCGCTTACAAAGCCACTAAACGGGGGCCTTGACCTCACTCCCGAACGAGTGGCTTGGCCAAAAAAGAAGTTCGAACTTGTTGTTTGCTGGTCCCTAAATTTGTCAACGTACCAGCTCGAGTGAGTGACTCCCAGAAATTCCCAGCGCTACTCAAAATGCTGGATTTCGACCCTGAAAAAGAAACCATTTGCCTTCCTCACTTGCCAAAGAACGCAGACAATAAGTGAAATAAAAGCTTCACCTTTTGGCACCTCGACCAAACATGGACCGAATCGCTAGCAACATTTCAGATCTGGTCGATGAAGCGCCGACAAAGTTCTGGCCTCTTGGGCCACGCGCTGCCGTGTCCGGATCTGGCTGAGCTGCTGTCGCCGGGCCTGGCGCGCTTGTGCGCAAGCCGAGTGAAAGGACCAACCCATGACAACCGGCAGTTGCCGCAGAAATCCTGCTGGTTTTGTTCATATATGAATATACCCAGCTTTGGGTATTCGATTTTGGCACCGACCATTGCTTTAGACTTGTTTCCTGAGAAGCTGATTGACTTGAGGAGTTCTTCCACCTAATTCTCAGACGTTTGGGCACCCGACGCACCTGGGCATTTGGGGGTCTGGGGCTCTAAGAACCCCTGACATATATGCCAAACATACGAAAGAAGACGGGATCTGGAGGGGGAGTCGAGCAAAAGACATGGACAAACAAAAGGAAACATCGATATGCAGAGTTTGGCAAAGTAAAGGAAGCCAATTGGAACTAAATAAGGCCAAATAGTAAAGCCAAAAGCTTCCCTCTTGGTGGTTTAGATTGGTGTTTGGGGGGCAGGTTCCCCTACAAAAAGGGGTTCAACCCCCCAAAATCCAAAGCCACCAAAGGGTTGCCTGAAACAAGAGCCTTTGCAGTTGAGGGTGCTTGGTCAGGTCCCCGGGCTTGGGATCAAAGCCAGCGCCTGGTCCAGTCCAGGTTTGGCAAACGAAATATGTCCAACGGGAAGGCGCCAGCTTCGGTTGGTCCCTTCTGTGTCCCGTAAGGTGAAATGGGCACCCTCGAGACGCTCACCCACTCGAAGGCTCGACCGCTCCGAAACGCCTCCGGGTCTCGGAATCGGGTCTTACGCTGGCTCGCTGATGATCAAAAACCAGCGTCTGGCCAAACACCATGAATAGCATTGCTCATTGCGTCCCCCAATGACATGAGGTTGTGGTGAGCAACCCTCACTTCCCAATGGAAATCGATGAGTGTACCCAACGTTATCGTTCCCCCTTGCAATATACCGACAGTACGTGTTGGCCGCTGATTATATGGGTTCGTCTCAAGACAAGGGACCCCCAAAGCCGGTGGTTTCCCTCCGGCATCCCTTTAAATCCCCCAATGCGACTTGTGATTCGAATTTCTCGGGGGCATTGACTCACGGCTCGTCGTAGCAAACGCGAGTTGGCTGTGAATCAGCACCTGTTTGCTTGGGACTCAGCCCCAAGTCTACCTTCAACCCGAGCTTGAAAAAAAGGCTCAAGAAAGAACAAGTCCACTTGCTTTGGCACTTGGGACTAAGCCCATACCCAAAACAGCCCAGCGTACACAATATGCCAGGAACCCAACTCCATGATCCATACTCTGGCTTTTGAAACATACAGGTCCCTTTGTTTGTGGTTTTAAAGGGAAGCAAAAGGAACACCACCAGGACCACCAGCGAGCATGGCACTGTGGCCAACCAGTGGCGCTGGTTGGTTTGAGGGCTCCATGGCAACTGGGTGTCAAGTGACTGCCGGACAGCCACGAGCAGCACGCAATGACAGGCGGGCTCCGCCCTCTGTTCCATTGCAGAAGCAACGGCATTCGCGGGGTGCTGGCACGCGCAATGGCTCAGACAGCACGATTGGGGGTTCCCCTTACCCATAAACTCCCCATACCCCACCTTTCATGCATTCGCTGTCAGATTCGCCCCAACCAGGTCCCGCCTGCGGGAAGATTTCCTGCATGCCCATCTGCCCCTCGTGTCGCGCGCCGAACTCATTTGGCACCCGGGGTGTTTGGGGTCGAGCCACAAGTGACCATGAGTGAGTGAGGAAAGCACATCACCTCTTCACTTCACTTCATCTCACTTCCTGGCTGGTGATTGGAAACCTCCAGCTTGCTTGTGTGCTGGTTGGTATAATAGATAACCCATGCCCGTTTGCTCGTCTCCCAAACCCAGCCAAATACTTCCACTTCACACCGTTCTTGAGCTCACTTTCTTGCAAAGGGCCAACTATATGCAAGGCCCATCGCTTCATGTGCATGTTACTCCCAAATTGGGGGGGATCGTTAAGCCCTGGGTCCAAGTGTTGCGAAAAGGTGGATGGCAGTGGAGGGTTAGAACCAAAAAAAACAATGTTTACCAGCACCCTAGAAGTTTACCCAGTTCACCGAAGTAAATGATTGTTTACCTAAGTTGACCAAGCGTCCAATTGAAACCAGTGGAGTCTGTCAATGTTTACCAAAGCGCCATCTGAAAAGCAACCCTCGAAAGGCTTTCGAGGCGTGCGCCGAGCGTCCGAGTCTACTCAACCCAAAAGGTACCTCACTTCTCCGATTGTGTGGCTTGAAGTGAAAACCACCCTTAGTTTTGCCCTCCCAAAAAGTATCAAGTGCAGAAACACAGGAAGACAACTCTTCCTTGCCGCTCTTTTTGGAGAAGGACTTGCAGATTGATGATTAGGACAACGTCTGATTGTTTCTGAAAAAAATCAACGACGTTGCCTTATCTGTTGGTATTGGAATATGTTTGGAAGGTCTTTACCGAGTTGACCCTTCCTTTCGCAGGAATCGCCCCCTCTCCCAAGCAACGGCCTGAGCCATGGTGGGAGACACCGCTGCTGCCGCCTGCGAGGCAATGACATGAATCCGACGGTTTTTAGGGGTTTTAGGGTTTAGGTTTAGGTTCTTAGGGTTGAGGTTTAGGGTCTTCAGGGTTTAGGTTTGGCCCCAAACCACTCAAGGCATAAGGCTTGGGCCATAGGCTTCGAATTGCAATTTACCAACTAAAGACATAATTGCTCCTTCACTCAGCCCACGCATGGGCTAAACTTGAACGAAAATGGGCTCGCAGCCCACGTCGTGGCGACACGAAACCCGCCGTCGGAGAAGGTGCTCCTTTGACCTCTTGGAACGAACCTCTGGCAGCGTTTTCTGACTTTCCCAGGAACCCTCCCGATGACTGGTTGGTGGACATATTCCAACCACGTAGAGTATCCCGGATCGAAATGCGCTTTTCAGCATCTTTCTGGCATCTATGTGAAGTGAGACTTCTTTTGGTGGCCCAATGCTTGCAAGACCGACATGGGTGGGAAACACATATGTATATATATATATATATAGATGCTTTTAAAAGAGATCCCAAGTTCGGTCAGGGACCCGACCAGCTTGGGCTTCAATTTCCCTCGTTTCGGCCCTCTGAAGGCCCCCACCCAGGAGTCGGCGCCTGGAGCTCGATGGGGTCCACCATGGGCGCCTGCGGTTGGGTCTTCTGAGCCCGGCTGAGAGATCAGAACCCATCCTCAAAGGGGTCGTCCCAAACCTCAAGCTCAAAGCCCATGCTGTCCCCTTCAACACCGAGTCACTGCGAAGTACTAGGGAAAAGGAATCACAAGGGCAGATGTCCATACCTATTTCAGATTTGGGCTCACTTTGGAAGGACCCTGGTTGAATTGAGCCTGTTGGTTGAAGATTGAAAATTACCTCGTCCTTTCTTGCGTAGGAACCAACCTTCCATCCATGCTCTGTTGGACCTTCATCCTTACCCCCCCCACACCCCCACACCCAAACAAAAAAAATACATTCTGCAGCAAAGCCTGGGAGACACCTGCTGAAAGAGCGTCGTGTTTCAAACGACGCTTTTCTGACTTGTCCAAAGGCCTTGTGAATGAAAATTGAAGTAGTTGGAACTTTGACAAAAAAGGACCAAATCCTGGAAGTGTGAAAGGTTTAGAAAAGAGTTTCCAGAAGTGTGGAAAGGTTTAGAAAAGAGTTTCCCAAAGGGCAAGTGAATCTCGCCTCTACATTACAGCTTGCACCGTTTTCGGATCCCACTTTATACTGAGTCAGACGTTCAACCTCAAAGCAGCAAACAAGATTCGTCAGTTTGCAAACTCGTCATCAGGCAGGCAAAGCCAACCAAGTGAAAGGAATGCATTTGAACTTGGGCCGATTAGCCCCGTTGTAGCTCAACAAAAAGGAAGCTACCCGCACTTGAACATGCGTGGGTTATGGGCCCAGCGCGACGCCATGGAGGCTTCGTCAGCATCCCTGCAGCGGAGGGGTCGCGGAGGTGGAGCCTGTGAACCCTTTCTGGAGCGAGACGGGGAACAACACTCTCTCGACCTCCCGCACATTCTCCCACTCCTGAGCTGACCCTTGTCTGAGGCTGTGGGCGAAAGCTCTTCAGCAATCCGGTTGCCTCTTGGATGAGGCCCCAAGCTGCTTCGCCACTGGCAGGTTACTTTCCTGGATTGGGAAATGCGCTGCCGCGCTGCTAGGACTGCATTCCTCGTCCGCGAGACCTTTATCCGGGAGTACGGCTTGAAGACTTGGACGACCAGGGGGTATCGGAGATCGCGCCGGACGAGGAGAGCGGTACGGGGTGGGAGCGGCTGGCTGAGAATTGGCGCGTGGACCATTGGGAACTGCGGGAGGGTTCGGCTGGCCCTGGACGTGGAGGACCTTCTGGCGGAAGCGGAAGTGGCGGATCGCCGGAGCGGCCCATACGGCTTCGGGATCGGGGACTACCAGCACGGCGGGCTCAGGGACGTCGGCACCCACCGGAGGTGGGGGCGGTGAGATGAATGAGGCTGCAGTCAAGCCGCCAAGGACTCACGGAGAAGAGTCTGAATCAGAGGTTGGAATCCAGGTGCACCGGAAGGGGGCTATGGAGAGATGAAAAGGAGCATTGGTTTGTCTGAGGAGGAAAGTGCATCGATAGATCCGCCAGGCGTGGGCACATGGAGAAGTAGGAGATGATCCCGTGGACGGGATCACGATCCTCGAGAAGAAGTGAAGGGAAGGGATTTGAGCTGTTGTATTCTTTTGCGGATGAGAAGGGGGAGCCCTGAAACATTTGTCGGACATTGCGGTCTCGGGCCGATTAGCCCCTTGTAGCTCAAGAAAAGGAAGCTGCCCGCACTTGAACATGTGTGGTTTCAATAAGGAAAACCGTAGATTGGGGGCGAACCCTAAGAGATGTCTCTTTCAGGGTGATCTTTTCAGTTTCAAGGAAATCCAAATGCCAACTCACCGGGTCAGCTCTCTCTTCCCGCATGGTGTCAGTAGATGTTTTTTGCAGCAAAATGTCGATCTTCGCGGTATCATTTTGTGGGTTGTTTCGTTTCAGCAACGCTTCTCGAACATCATGTTAACCAGCAATCCTCACAATGTGTTCTGCGTTTGTTCACCAAAATGGGTGGGCTCCCACGTCTAGTGAACCTCGTATCAGTCAAAGGACGGATATCCGCACTGGTTGGGACTGTCCCTATCCCTTCCCCTTCTTCCCGAATCGGCTTTGAGCCAAACTTCCAGAACCTTGGCGAGGCTCCCAAATTCTTAAAATGTTCTGACAGCCCGCTCAGCATGAACGGCACCAAAAAGTCAAAAACGGAGAAAGAAAAGATATGGAGCAACAAAACAACCTTGACCAAAACACAAAACCACACAAACCACGAAGAGCAGGGCGCCGAGGCCTGCTGCATCTGCTGCATGGGCAACGGCATGGCCTGTGGCAGCGGCGCTGCCGGCACCTGACGGGCAAGCCGCGAAGCCGAGCCGGCGGATTGGGCACAGAAAACGTCTGACTGGACCCTCAAGCTCCCTCAAGCTGGAGTTGAGGGTGCGGGTGGGCTTGTTTACCACAGTTGAATGCCTCAAAGTGGCCACATTCCTGCCTTCCCCAGTAGCGCAAACTCGAGTGTGCCATTGTGTGGCCCCTCCATCCATCCTCCAACTTGAGATTAGCCATCTGCAAATGCTTCCTATTTCGTCCACCCCTCGATTCCTAGAAAGAAGACGGCCCTCTGGGCCAAAGTGCCCAGACTTTCGAGTTGCACAATGGTTTGCATGTTCTGAAAACTGGCGGGAATCGCAACACGCCGATGTCCGCCTTCTGGAAGCTATCCGTCGCCACATTCAACTGTACCTGATGCAGGCGAAAAGTACCCAGAAAAAACATCGAGAAATCCTGGGCTTGGGTTGTTACATGAGCCAAGAACCGCGAAGCCGTGGATGTTGAATCCTCGCCAATTGCACCATGGACGAGACCTTATGAATAGCGGAGCAAAACCACCCACTGGTGTGAAGGGACTTTGTGCATCCACATCCACTGAATCACAGAAGGATTTCCTCTACATTTCCCTCTAGCTACTTACTTGGAGTATTGCTCAAACCTCCTATGGTTTCCCTGACGTCCGGTTGCCCTAACCTGCGATGCTCAAGCGTTCAGTCCGCTCGACCGGAAGCTGAGGGAAGAAATGGGAACGGTTGCGGGAGCCACATAACCCCCAATCGACTGTTGCCTTTTGCCTTTTCCTGCTAGCAACAACACAACCCCCACCCCGTCCAAACAAAAACGAGAGCCTTTTGGGTTGATCAAGCAAGAAAATCGGGGCTCCGCTGCAATTCTGTGATGTGTACAACAAAAAGGAAATCCTGCCAAATGACGAAGTTCTTCGTTAAAATGGGGCGACGGTTCCCGAAAAGTATCACTGAAGTGGTACACAAATTGAACCTCATTCACACAAGTAGGTACGAAGTGCAAAAGCAAAGACCCATTTGAGTCGCTTTGGACGACTGAGACCTTGGGAGGGCCTCGAACCTGGGACCTGGAACGAGTAACAAAGATTTTTGCCGTGACTAGCCCAAAAAGAAACAAGGGTTTGCTTCGCAAAGTTGGACATACGGAACTGCAAACTGGCTATTTCTGTCTAGCATCACTAAAACGGTTCTAGCAAGAAAAAGGCACAATTTCTGCTTTGCAACCCGTCACTGTCCAACAAGCAACCGACCTCAGAGATGGGTTGGGTGATTCAATTGGCAGTTATGGAAAGGCTCGGTGGAACAAGCAAGATTGGCGCGCCTGCCAAAGGAATCAACTACTATCAAGGGTGGAGGTACGGAGGTTATATACCACTTAAATACGGGGCATAATATATTGCCTTAAAAAGCTTGTCTACCCGGAAATGCCCTTGGTACTACACATTATTCGTGTTGTTGTAGGGAAACCAATGGGAAACCCAACGTAGTTGGGAGGCCCCCGATTTAGAGGCAAACCCATTCACGGGAGCACGTCCAAGCAACCCTCGTTTGGCAAATCCCGCAAGCAGAAACCGCGGCCATGAAAGTGACACTGTCAAAATGCCTCTATGAATGCTGGTCCGGGGAGTTAAATAGAGGGTCTGTGAAATCGAACCATTTCCCACCCCCTTTGGGCGTGCTAAAGGTGGATACTATGCAATGGACCTCCAGCCGGTCTACGAGACCTGGGCTCATGGGTACCTCTTGATCAGTCTCAAAGACATTTAGGTGGCAAAGAAACACCGAAATGGTCAACACAACACAACACGTGGCAAGAAGCAACGCACACACTCACACAAAACAACAACGCAAACAAACACAAACAAAAGGACAAAAACACAACCTGCCGCGAAAGCGACATTTCATGATTCTCCATATTGACGGGATTCGAATCTCCCCCACACTCCACTCCCCCAACCCTAAAACACATTTATTTGTTTAGCCCCCATGTCGCCACACGGCTCTTGGCCTCGGTGTCCTTTTGGAAAAATCAATGGCATCGGTACATTCGTTGAACCAAGCCGAGACCAGTGCCATCTGGTTGTTGCCCAAAAAAAGTGGCTTCCCCTTGGTGTCCCTTTAAATCTTTGAACCAACCCCGCAAAGAATCTCAAAAAAAGCCGAGGCGGTTTCCCCAACAGCAACCTGGAACCCTAGTCGCTTATCCCATCCCATTGTCATTGCTGATACCCTTTTTGGCTTGGTAAAGGGAAGCCAAAAGAAAACCGAAGCCCACCTTGTGGGCTCCGATTCCTATTAACAAGAGTTCTTCCAATCATTGCGACTTTCGAAAGCTTACAGAAGGACTACGGGGCAAAGCTAGTCTTACAGCCGTTCCTTGGCGCGCTTCCACCCGATTCCTATTTAGATGTCATTGTTTTAGGGGAACCCAAACGAATGCGCAGTTTTTTTTTGGCTTTCCTTCAACAGAACTGCCCAAAAATGCTTCCCTTCACAAAAACGACCAGCTGGAGCAGCTCCAGGCTCGAGCGATCGAGAGAGTCGGCGGGGCGACTTTTCTCCATTTTGGGGACTCAGGGGAGTTTTTCCAAACAAGCCGCAAGAGGGGCACAAGAAGCCGCAAAAGGGAGCCTAAAGGGAAAAAACTCAGAAACCTCTCCAAAAAGACGCCGCGAAAGCCCCGGTCCAAGCTCCCGGCGCTTTGGGCCAGCGCCACCAGGCGCGCGCGGATCTCCTCCCGATCCAGCTCCCTGGGCTGCCCGCCTGCCGCAGAACGTCGTACGTCATTTGTTTCAGGGAACCCCCCCGAAATAGATGAGCGTTCTTCTGGTTTCCGAAAAGAAAAAAGGAAACAAAAAGAAGAAGAAAAAAAGAAGAAAAAAAAAAAACGGAAAAGGGTGGATGTAAAGGCGCTGGGATGGGCCGTAGGCAACATGGAGTTGTTTGAGCATGATGCGAATGAGAAAGGGGGATTTGGAGGTTATTTCATGGCCCGCGCTCACGGAGCGCACTTCAGGAAAAACACAAGGCTTGCTCATGAAAAATCAAATGCCAGGCACAATGAATATTTACCCCCAGAACGGGCTCACATGAGATCCGCCATCAGAAGACAGCCGGAAAACTGTTGCAGCCAAAAGCATGGCAACAACATGTGAGATTCTTGGGTTTGGACCATTCTCCACCCCCACTTTCAGGGGTTTCTGAACGCACCTCACGAGTGATTTCACCAAACACAACCAAACCGAGGCGCGAAGCCTACCAGCCTCTCAGTCCCAAGTGCTTGTACGTCCGCACCAAGCACGTGCTTGCTAGCTCGGATTCCGCATCACGCATGGCTTAACAAGAAAATGTGGCTGTTTAACAAAAACTTTTGGGTCCCAATGCAGGTGCTTAAAAAACGAAAAAAGAAGGAAGAAAAAACAAGAAGGAAGAACTATCTCGGGGGGCAACGGACTGAATGGGCTAAGATGGCGCCGAGAGCGTTTTTCTGAGCGCAACCAAAAGACGAGAGGTGAGCCAGAAGTGGCTTGCACGAGGGGCTCCGAAGACCCGGGACCCAAAAAGCGACCCAGGAACGGTAAGACTGAAAATGAGCCAGGGATTTGGGATGTAGTTGTTCAAGTTGGTTTCCCACCACCATCGTCCCCCCAAAAAAGAAAACAGAAAGACATAACTTAAGTGGTTGGACAGAAGTCATGGCATTTGTTTGCGACCTGTTTCTTGCCATCGGTTCTCTTGCTTGAACTAGGGCTTGCCTTGTGCACCGCTTTTGAAAGAAACCCACTCAAAACCAACAGAACAAAAAAAAACCAAATACTACTACTCGAAAACCTACAGCCCTATAAAGCAACATCATGGAAACTCGAAAACCAACAGACCCAAACAAAAAGGCGACATGATGGAAACCTGCCCCGTGCCAGGAAAAAAGTGAAGGTGTGACACTCTTGCAACAGGTCACTCCATCTTCATGTCCGTGTGGAGGTACAGCCTGGAGCCACCTGCTGCCCGCCTCTGTTCAGCAGACGTCCCAGGCTCTGCATTTCCTGACGCGTGGCCAAGGGGAAAAATTCTCCTTGTGGGGCATGTGTCGTCTCAGCTCGAGGGCGTGTTCAGGCCTCTGGGCAAATTGCAAAACCTGACAAAGTGGAAAGGAATGCCCAAGAAAGGGAGCTTTACCATGGGCGAGCTCGCTTTTCCCCAGGTCAGCTGGTTGTAATATGTGCAAAGGTATGGGGGTTGGAGGTCTGGAGGTTGTACTCCACCTTTATACAGCCCAAGACAGGATTTTGCTTCCGTGTGCCAACATTTGCGAGGCCCGTTTCATCCGCCAGGTTTGCACTTGTATGCTGTGGCCGTTTCGTTTGGGGACAAGATGACACACCTCGAAGAAGAGCCCCTTAGAACTTTCAGGAGAGAAAATTCGTCCATGTTTCCACTGAGGTGGTCAAGGGTCGGACTTGCAAGAAGGACGAAGCCTTTTCTGGGCTTCCCCTGTACATTCCTTTGGCTGTACTTGTTTTGAGGATTCCGTTCTGGGTGAGTCTTCAAAACCTGATACTTGGCTGCGAGCATCCCTTGGTTGCCCGCGAGTCGTGCCCCTATCCTGAGAGGAAAAACGCGACGGGAGCGTCCAATGTGATAGAATTGAGTTCAATCCAGATTCTTCCAAGTCTGCAGAATCCTGAAATGCTTCACTTTACAGGTTTGCCTGTGTTGTGATACATCCCACCTCTTTTGGGGAGGTTCCCCCTATGGCTTCCCCTTACTGGAGGTCATGAGGGCCTCCTGGTGAAAACGTGTTGTTCATTTTTCCTACGCTGTGCTCAAAAAAGAAGCAAACGGCTTCCCATGATTTCAACAGCGGTGCCTGCGCTCGCACGCGGTCCAGCTGCGCCGACACGCCCTCCGCGAGCGCCTGGCGGGGGCGGGAAGTTTTCCCTGGATTTCCCCGAAAGTTGATCGATGGACCGGTGGTTTCATACGGCTGTGGGTCAAGAATAGGTACCGCAAATGGAACCCTGGTACGTGGAAACATGGACCAAAACCTGCGGTCCCCTGATGGTGTAATTTTGACCCATTCCCATATTGAAACTGCCACTTTTGGAGGTCCCCTTGAAAGGGGAACAGAGGAAACTCAAGAGTCCCCCAAGAGAGGGGGGCAAATCCTCTGGCGCAAGCAGCCGAGGGTCCGAAGAGGGTTGTAGAAGCAATAAAACGACAACAGCAGTTGGGAGGGTCCGACTTGTTTGTTGCACACTTAAAACACGCATTCACCCCCCAAAAAGCAGTAGCTCAAACGGGGTGTCCTTCACAAAAAGCCTTTCTGTGTACAGGAAATACGTCAAAGGGGCGGACTCTGTTGGGGGACAGGGTAGATGTTTGGTGTTTTCCTGGAACCCACCTGAAGCCGTTCACCTCACCGCCCTTTGGGTCCCAAAGTGAGAGGCTTCTGGTTGGCTCCATGGATGGATTCGGGGTGGCAAAGGCTGTGGTTCGGAACTCCCGAAGGTCTTCGTAGGATCACACGGCTGTGAACTCAAGTTGAACATGTACCCTTTGCTGGCCATCAGAGATGCATTGTTGGGCGTTGGACTAATGCAATAACCCACCGTTTGTGTACTGTCTTGCCGCGCGGGGTGGATCTCTTGAAAAGAGTTGCGACTAGCAAATGGAGATCAAAGGCGATCGTCGGACTCGTGACTACACCAAGATTGCAACACCAAAATGTCCTGCTGGTTCAGCTTGCTTGTTTGCTCAAGTGGAATCCACCGAAAAGGGTCGATTTCTAAAGGAAACCCCTTTGGAACTTGAAAACTGAAGCATTCCCATCAGTTCAGCGCCGTTATAATTTAAAAAAAAAAAAAAACGGTGCTGAGACCGAATCGTCGAGGAAGAAACTTGGTCCTTGGAAAAGGATCACTCGCAAGGGCATACCATTTTATACCCTTGCCCTCGTGGTTTAGGTCTTTCACCCATGTCCTTTTGGGTTCGGAGTAACAAAGGGAACAATCCCCATTAAGATTCCCGGAATAAGAAGCAAAGGGCAAGTCTGTTTAGCCTGTCAGGACAGGCTTCGCTCAGGGCCCGTTCGCCTTGACGACCTGGACGCTGCTATTGCTGGTAGGCACCAGCGTGAAGCCCTGCGGCCGTCGTTTTGGTCTCTCGTTCTTTGCGGTCGACGAGGGCTGCTCCAGCAAAAGTCGTCTTCAAATGCCTGCGGCTTATTGCAGAATCCTAAATGCTGACCCCGGATTAAACCCGTTTGCGGGTGTTCGCCTCCACAAGAGCCCCTCCAAAAGTGACGAATCTCTCCGAAGTTCCCATTACTCCAACTACCCCATCCGAAATCCGCTTCTGCTTTGGATTCCCCAGGTGGATGGAAAGGTCCCTAAAATTTGAACACCACTCCAAAGGATGGCCAAGACACTCGTGGATTCAGAGTGCAGCGGGGAGCTAATTCTGAGCCCATGTCAGGGGTCTGAGTGCCAGCCTTGTCCAGATGGATTGTGTCCCAAGCCCATGAACGAAAATCATCGTGGGTGAGGCCTGCGAGGTCGCTATGACAGGGTGAACAGATGAAGGAAGGAAGCAAGCAAGCAAGCAAGAAAGCAAGCAAGCAAGCAAGCAAACAAGGAAGGAAGGAAGGCAGCAAGGAAAGAAAGAACGACCAAACGAACGAGCGAATGAAAGGACGAAAAAATGAACGAGCGAAACAACATATGGACGGACGGACAGACGGACAGACGCACCGATGGATGAATGAACACATGAACGCGCGCAAGCACATGCATATACACGCATTGGCACATACTTAGCCACGCGGCGAGTAGACACTGTGTTGTCAACATAGGGGAACCAAAAACGGCGGCTTTCAGCCAGTCTAAAAAACGGGTACCCTGAGAAACCCACACCCATTTAGCCACTCAGGACGCCGCCTGTCTTTATCCATCGAGCTGCGGTGCCTTCAGCAAGTGCACTAGGGCGTTCACATCCAGGTCCTGCGGTTCGGCAACCAGGGGTCCCAGGATACATTTGGGCCAGCTAAAAGGTCACTGTTCTCACATTTCGAGGATCCCCGCAGCGAGCAGATGGTCTTTGATTGTATTTGTCCAAGAGACGCAGCCACAAACACCAAGCAAAGAGCTTCTACAAATGTTCCAAGGCGGACCCCGGGTGACGGCTGGCGTTGAGCGGTTTTGGGTAAAAGTTATTCTGGAAAAGGGACTTTGGGGAGGTCTTGACATAAGAGTGGAAACCCTGGTTCCCTTGACCTCCATGTATGTATGTGTTTAACCTGAGAATGGGAATACCCGAAGAAGAATGTGGTATGGGGGGGGGGCATTTTGTAACCACCGTATTCACAGTATGCAGGTCTCCGCAAGTCCACTTCCAATCCATGCCGAAGCTCAGCGCCCTTCCGGGGCTCAGTTCGTTCAGCCGGGTGAAACCCATAAATCCCAGCACTCAATCCCGCGTGTTGCATAGGTTCCCCCCCCTCCCAAGGTTTATGCCTTGGATCAAATTGGTTAGATTGCGAGGTTGGAAGTGAACTGCAAACTTCTGACTTGGCCAAGTTGGGCTTCTTGGCCTCTCGGGTCGCCTGACCTGTCGTCGTCCTCGTCGCAGCTGGGCTTGAGTTGTACATAGCTCTGTTCTCGGTTGGTGGGGGGGCCGCCGGGGCAAACCTTGCAAGGCTCACTCACGACCTGAGTTGTTCTTTCTCCGGCAGTCTCTCCTGTCTTAGCAGTTTTTCTCTCCACTGCATTGCAGGCACGCCATGGTACAGACTTAACTTTTCGGGTGTCGCTTTGCTAGGAGAGCATGTTCTGCCTTCAGTTAGACGACTTGTTTGTACTGATTGGGTTTCTGCGACGTTTTCTTGCTGATGTGCTGACGGGCTGACGATGGCAGTGGACTTGGTGGAGTTGGGGAGTGGAATTACTAACATTCACCCACACTGAAAAACCTGGAGCAGCCAACAAACATACTCGTTTGCGCCCCGCGACTCCGAGCGTTCGACCCAGTCCTTGTGCCTTTTCAGGACTTCCTTCCCGGCGCAGTCCACCAGCGTGTCAGAGCCCCGCACAGGCACCTGAGAGGCTCTGAGGCGGAGGTGGGTTCGGGGTCGGGGGTTGGGGGGGTTCGGAGGTGGGGGGGCGGCTGGGGGGGGGGGGGCTATTTCGCACTGAAGCCCTAGGACACCAACACTCTAAAGAAGGCCGGTGCACTAAGCATAAAACTCAAGCGGACCTGCATGCTGCTGCGAAATGGGTTCCTTTGCAGGGAGGAAAAGACTGGTCTGATTGCTTCATTTGGAAGGGACCTAAACAAAGCTCCCTTCTGGCGAACCGTTGTACGTGTTTCTGCGAAGCTACAAAGAAGGGGCCTATCTTGTCGACCGCTTCGTAGCGCTTCGCATTTTTGGCCCAGACCGCGTTCCAGTGGGTTGATCTGAAAGCGAAACCCTTTCATAAAAAAAAAACTCTTTTGTTCGTGTCCTTGAAAGAATAACATATGAGCCAACCCCTGCGCAAACGTCGAAGTCCAAGACCAACCTGGGCATCCCGGGCCATGGCATAGGCGCTCACCTGGGCATCAACCGCCCGTTTGCCTTGAAAAAGGGGGTCCCGTCCGTGGAACCTGACGTTTCTGGGTCTTGCTTGGGAATATGTTCCTGTAAAAGAGACCTGTATTTTTTCTGGCGGGCTCCACGTTAGTGGACGGGAGACCACAAAAGGGCCCTGATGTGTCTCTGATGTGATGCTACTTTCATTTTCACTTAAATCATGGTCTTCTAAAGAGCCCTAATAAATTAGGGGTCACTGGATTTCCCCTTCAACAGCTGCAGTTTGCCGGTGGCTCCAATGGAAATGCCACTGTGTATGCAAGCTAACCAAACGGCACCACACACAAGCACGCGATAACTCTTTTATCCGAGCAGTGTGTTGGTGCCAGGGACTCATCTTCCCCTGTCAGATGACGCTGGGTGGGCCCCATGGGCCACCCAACTCACAATCTCAAAAACTGAAGAACGGGTGTGCAGACTGATAGCGCCCGCCCCTGAGCCGGGGCCCGTGGCACCCAGGCCACAGGGGGGTCTGCCACCAGGGGAAGTGAGTCGCCCACCGGCTCCGGTCACGGGAGCATGGGTGGGCCCACGCTAAGGTCAAATGCATCTCCATTCAGGAGACGCGGGAGAAAAACGAACTCCTCGCAGAGTTCCTGCTTGGGGACCCTTTGCAAAGGGTCGAACCCAGAGAAATCTGGGTGCGTCAGCTCATCAGCCCATTGATTGAATTCACGGGGCACGTGGTTGGCCGCCAGCGAGCAGCCATGGGTGTGGAGCAGGAAGACCAGCTCCATCAGGATCGCCGCCGTGTAGGGCTTCTTGGATCCAAGGTTGAGCATCGCCATGACGTTGCCCTGATTGTCACTGCCCACCGGGAGTCGGACCCGGGAGGACAGAGGGCCTTGGTGCGTGAGGATCATGTTACAGAGGAAGAGCGTGCCCAGCATCTCCAGAGCCGCAATCCTCCGCTTGGGATCCCCATTCTTGAAAGCCCAAGGGTACTCCTCCACGTGGATCTGCTCGTGGAACCAGTACACCTCCTTCTTGTCCGGCTCCACTTTGTTGGAGCACCAACCTCCCACAAATGCCAGTCCTTCGTCCGAGGCGCTAGCATCGCTGCAACCCCACCAAGAGGACTTCGGCAAGTAAGGGGAGTACTGGACGAAAGGCGTGTTGAAGAGGAACCGCAGCATGAACGCCAGCATCCTGACCACCTTGGGGGGCTTCCCCACCGTGGTGGTGGCCATCTTCCAGGCCCAAAGTGGCTGGAGCATCGACTTCGCCAGCGGACATGCCGCCGTCGCCCATTGGATGCGACCCAGGGCCTTCTCGATGTCCTTTGAGTGCATCGTGCAAAACCTCCATAACCAGGATGTGTTTGTTGGCTGCCATGAGAACCTGCGGGATGTTCGGGTGGACCACGAAACCCAGCCATGTGTTAACCTCCGCCAAATGCGTCTTCTTCCAGCTAAGCGGGGTGCCCAAGGCCAGGAGTGTTGCCAGCAGCGCCACCGCCAAGTTTACTGCCCCTTCGCTTCGAAGCAGCCACAGGAAGTCATCGACAAAGACGAAGTTCCAATCTACTTGAGGGAAAAGTGCGTAGAGGACCCTGAGTGCCAGGCGTCCCCAGTAGGATTGGGCACTGGCCATGCCATATGTGCCTACCTTGTTCACCCACCATTCTTCCCCCAGTGAGGCCACCTGGAACCGCCAGTCCTTCCTGAAAACCTTCACTCTCCGGTGGGCCTTGGTGACGTCCGCCTTGAGCAGCACCCACCTGGTGCCCGGCGCCGGCCATAGCCAGCCCCCAGGTGGAGGTTTGACGACCCCCCTCTCGGGGCCAGTGGCACCCTGAGAGGGGGGTCCCTCCGCAGCTGCCGCATGTAGCCAATGAAGAGCTTGGACCCCATCCAGCACCGTCGGAGCCGTCGTCCTTTCCACCGTCTGGTTCCTGATGGTGTCATTGGCCCCTCCCACCGAGCCATCGTAGATCGTGCGCCCTCGTCGATGCCCGCTAGGGGGCCGGGACAAAGGTCCTCGATTTCGCAGCCACAGCGCGATGCTGCCTCCACCTTACTGAAGGGGCCCTCTACCGTGCCCATGGGGACCTCCTCCAGAAAAGTGCCCCGGATGAGCTCGCTGAAGTGATCCGCCGAGGGGTAGTTACCCCTGCCCGTTGGGTGAGGGAGTTCCTGGAACTCCGGCTCCTCCCCTTTCAGCTCCTTCTTGAGTGGCCAGATGCCCGGCGAGGTCAGGGATGGGTCCGTGACCCCCAGTGGGACCCCTTGCTCCAGATCCCGGGGAAACTGGTGGTCGGGGTCCTGAATGTTCAGCGCCACGCTGTGCAAGATGTCCAGGAAGAAGGGTTGGCCGTCAGCTGGTCGGCCTGCCCCCGGCGCCAGAATCTCCCTGATATCCTCCAGCAGGTCCTCCGGGAAGGGATGTGACCCATCCCCCAACGAGAGCGACTCCTGGAGCTTGTCCCCCCATGGCGAAGTGATGACACAGATCTTGGCCCCCATCGCTGCTGCTTTGGACAGTGGCCTGGTCCATGGGGCCAACCGTCCCAATGAGGGCTTTCCTCCTCCGTCCCTTAGGGGGCGCTGTTTGAAGGCCATCTGGAGGTACATGACCTTGTCGGAGAGATTGGGGTCGTGCGTGATCGGCAGGATGGTGGGCCGATCCGAGATCTCCATGCCATGGTGTGCCCATGGCTCAGGGGAGAGAGTTCCCCCCCCAAGTTCGTCTGTCTCGCCAGTCCTCTGTGTCGGTGTCCGGACCTCCGGATTGTCCGAGGCCGAGACCGGAAGTGAGCCCAAGGTTAATCCTGCCAACGCTTGTTGGCCAGCCTTCAGCCTCCGGGACTGGCGCTTGTTGTCCCCCGGCGTGTTGGGAGAAGGTTCCCTCTGCCGCCTCGGGGGGGTCGTTGGGTTCGCCTGGGGCGCCGTGCCCCCCGGCCTCAGCGCCTCCAGGACGGGTCCCGCTCGGCAAAGGATGGCCGCTGCGAGACCCTGCATCATCTGCTCTGGGTACCGGCTGAGGTCACTGGAGTTGAGCTTTTCCCCCCTGGGGTGAGCCCCGTGGTTGCAACGCAGATCATGCCAATGGTGAAGGGGAAGGTCCGTTGACAATGTCGTGGACTTCACGACCACCTGGCCCAGGCGGCACTCGTCAAACTTGATGAGGGAGTGGTGGAGTGCGCTCGCCCATTGAATGTAGGCCCGTGTGACCCAGATCGATGAGCACCTCGCTGCGCTCGGGTCTTGCACTCCATTGGGTCCATCGGGTGCTCCAAGAAGGAGGAGCCCACCTGCGGGACCGTTAGCTGACCTAGCCCCTTGTAGGCCAGCGAGGTCAGGTACATCTGTCGGAGCATGAGCACGCTGTCATTGTCCGTGTCCTCCATAACCCGGGGCTCCAAGTCCTCTAAGCCCCACAGGGTCTGCTCTGCTCTGCCCCTCACCGGCGGCGGGCCACCCGGTTTGGGGAACCACCTGAGGATGCTCCACGTCCTGCAGTTGGGGCCGCCCCCCACCAAGGCGACCTTGCCCGCCATGGCCATGGAGCACATCGTAGAGTAAGGCTCCTCTCCCAGCATGTCCTGTCCAAGGTCTCCCCCCTTTCGCCTGATGTCCACCGCCCAGATGTACTCCGAGAAGGCCGGGTTGTAGGCATGGAGGTAAGCATCCAGGGCCCCCGCATCATCCTTCCCAGCGTACAGCAGGATGAGGGACGGCTTTGACGACTCCGGCACCGGCCGTGGCGTCCACCTCAGTCTGAGCCTCAGTCTTTCCGGGATGTCCTGCATCCATGGGAAGGTGGGGCTTGCCCCCCCTAGGGATTCCGTGTGTCCTTTGTCTGACCCTCCCGTCATCTGTCCCTGGGCTTGCTGCTTGCCCTGGCGGTTCTTCCCGCCCTTGGAACGCCCCTTGCCGGGCGGATCCTCACCTCTGGGTCTCTCTGGGGGGTCTTCCCACTGCCTCGGTGGGTGCGGGGGAAAGGGATGCTTCCGCCCTTCTGGAGTGCCCTGGCTGGGACCGCTCCTCTTCCTCGGTGGAGCTCAGGGTGCCATAGGCCCCGTGGCTTCCCGGTCTCAGTTGGGACCACAGGCCACCAGTGCGAGAGTGCACACAGAGGGGGAGAGCCAACCCCACCAGAGCCACAGCGGAAGGCAGACAGAGTGGGGGAGGCCAGGAGCCTCAGATGGGAGGGGACTTCTCCAGGGTGCCACCGGCTGTCACTTGGGAAGGTGAGGGCATGCCTGTGGCACATGCTTCGATGGGGGGGCATCGCAAACCCACCCATCCTTCCTGACCGGGCAGTTGTGGGATCGGCCGCATGATCCCGAACACTTGTTGTGGAGGTGATGATCTCTGCAGTACGCCACCCCTTTGGGATTCTTGAAAGCCCAGTGGTCCGGCCATGGAACCGAGGGGGTGTTGGGGGACTTCCCCTTGCCGCCCTTGCCCTTCGGCTTGGACCGGGTCGGTCCCGAGGGCCAGGAGCCTTTCCCCGCTTCTCCCACTGAGTCTGCCACATTTTGGGTGCCTTGCCCTTGCTCTTCCCCTTCTCCGGCGCCCTGTTGAGGTGCTCATAGACCTCCCGTTGCCAGAAGAGGAAGTCGCCTCTGATATTCTTGAGGGCATCGGAGAGAGTGGTGCCCTGGTGCACCATCTCGTGGATCTTGCGCCATGCATTGCGCTCTGCAAACAGCAAGGTGGTGTCGCTCGGGGGAGGCTTCCTGCCGGCGATGTCTTCCCCATAGAACCAGGCATACCAATCATCCAGCTCCTCCTTGGTGACCTTCAGGTTGCCAAACTGTGGCAGTGCTGCCGTGCACATCAGGAGCGTCGTCCTGAAGGTTAGGTGCAAACGTTCCAGCTGGCGCCGGGATGTAGGGTGGCTCCTCACCTCTTCTTCATCCTCCCTGTCCCAGCCGTCCACCGTGATCTTCTTGTGGGTGGATGAGGGGCGTTCCCCTTCTTCCGGGAGCGCGCTCACGATGTGTTTTGCCGGGAT